TATTATTTTTTCTAATAAGTCTACTTTTTAGATGTTTCAAAATATGCTTTAGGTTCAGTACATGTGTGGCTAGTTGTAATCTCTAATATAAGGTAAGCCCTTGGTAGCATGCTGTGTTCTAATATACTTGAATAAAAACATTGCAACTCCCAAGATAGAGATTTTAACTTAAAAAAAAATAAAAAAAAAATAAAAACCTTATTGTATTGATTTATCTAACTAAAAAAAGAATAATAACATTACATCTTTTCAAATTCTTAACAGTCATAATATTTCACAATAAATACAACAAATTAAACATTACAAAAGATTACATATAAACTATACATACTTATCTTTATATAAAATAGCAGATCAATTACATTTATATTCTAATATCTGTTTATTAATTGAACAAGTTATTAGAAAAATTAATATATAGTTAATATTTTGAATTAATCATAGTGCATCTTATAATTATATTTTAAAACTACAAATATAGATGGGTCTTAATTATCTTAGTAAGATTAGATTACAAATAAAGTTATCTGAATTTTAATTTTTATCTATAGTTTTAATTTTATATATAGTACATGCTATATATATTTATTATACAAATTCTAACCTTTACTTGAATATTTTTTTCACAATTATCAGAACTATACTTACTATCTATCTATACATATTTCTTCTAAATTTTCTTCAATAAATAGTAATATATCAAATACTAATTTAATTATAAAAGATAATAAACTAAACTACACTTATTTCTAATTAGTAAGAACTATATTAGATAGTCATAATGAAACCACTATAGCTAAATAATACTATAACAATATTCAACTTAATATCTACTACAATAAATTTCTATTCTACAACTATTTATTACTACTTTTCTATTTACAAACTATTATTTCTTTCTTAAAACATATCTACAGTTTTGGCTACTTATTTGATAATGCTTATAACTATATATTAACTATTTTTATTAAAAATAATTATAGTAAAGATTATGTTTATTTTCTATCTGAAGCTAAACTATTATCTAACTATTTTATTTTACCAATATTATAAAATGAATTATTATTATTTAGTATTAGTTATTTTATTATTGTATTATTATTATTACTAGTAGTTGCTAGAACTTTTTAGTTACTTAGTCACTTAGTCACTTAGCTACTTAGTTGCTTAGTTACTTAGTAATTAGTTATTTAGTAATCATTAGTTATTAGTTACTAAAACTTTCTAGTTACTTAGTAATCAAGTAGTCACTTAGTCACTTAGTTGCTTAGTTGCTTAATGCTTAGTTGCTTAATCACTTAGTCACTTGGCTGCTTAGCTGCTTAGCTTACAAATATACAGTAGTAGCAGAAAATTATAACAATTATGTGATATGATGCAGTATGCTAAAATTTTATTAAAATTTTATAAAATTTTAATTACAGCTAGCTCAAATAATACATTTAACTATCTAGTAGTTAATAATATGTTTACTTTTCTTAATAATTAATTGAAGATGCTCTCTTATAGAGTTAGCTAAATTAAAGCACAACTCTCTATCAATTCGATATTATTCTTCCTTAATTATTGCCAAGAAACATTTATTAGAGATGGTTTCTTTTGCTTGGACCAAGAAGTGAACCTTTTTTTTAACTCTTTTCTTTATAATTGTCTAGAGATTCTCAATTGGATTGAGATTAAAGAATGAGAAAGGCCAATCAAGAACTTTTGAACACCAAGTCTTTAATAAAGTCTTTATTGCTTTGGCAGTTTGTTTAGAATTATTATTCTGTTAGAATGTCTAATTATTTCCTAAAACCTCAGATGTTTGCTCAAACAAATAGTTTGTCAAAATCTCACAATATTATTTACCATTCATAATATCAATAAATGCATGAAAACCAACAATTCCTCTTTTACAAAATGCATCCCAAACATGAACCTTAAATGGATATTTAACAACTACTCATCTTGACACAGGTTTACCAACCTTATACTGAACCTAAAGCATATTTTGAAACATCTAAAAAGTAGACTTATTAGAAAAAATAATAGTATTCTACCTTTTTCTCTTATATTTATATGCCCAAGCAACATAATGAATCATAGCCTCTTTTTTGAGAAGAAAAACAGCATGGGAAATAGAAACTTGATAACCAAGGCTTTGAAGGTTCTCTCAAACCATTTTTGATGTAATATTAAGACTAAGATAAGTATTGTTAAAGGCCTCTGCTAGTTCTTTACTTGTTGCAGTTCTGTTATCTATTGTGATTTTGCCAAGATGCTTTCTTTGTGCAAAGCTAAGAAGTTATGGATGCTCTAAATATTCACTTAGCTTAATATTACCATTTTCAGTAAGTTGTGCAATCCATCTATATAGAGTTTTACTAGAGTATTCAGTTAATTTTTGCAACTTTAAAACTTCTTTATATCTGTATTTTCACAAAAATTTAATTTAAATATGTTTTTCTTCAAGCAAAGTCATTTTATAAGAAAAAAAAGTTTGCAATATTACAAATTACTAATTTCATGTCTGTAAATTATATGACAACTATATTTATATCAATGTAACAGAGTTTAAGTTTTTATATATGATTTCTAAAAAAAAAAAATTGGCATAATTTTCTATCATTACTGTATAAACTTTGCTAAATTCCTTAAGTGCAATTATGCAACAGATGTTTTTCTTTCTTTTAATATTGTAAATACATCTTGGGATTCTTTAGGAACAGAAACCTAAAGATAGCCCTTTTTGTTATTACTTTAATAAACAGCTTTTGACTATAATCTGTATTGATACTTCTGCTCTAGAGTAATTTCTACAGATAAAGTTTATTACCTCTTAGTAAAATAAAATAAAGTTATTAGTATTGCATTGTCTTTTCCAAACTGTCTTAGAGAAGAGTATAGTTTCTTGACAATTATCAGCAAATTTATAGATGCGAAATATTTCGAAAGATTTTGCATAGCACAATAATTTCGAAATATTGCGAAATAAAT